GATGTCATATTGATTTCTAATCAGACCCATTCACAATCATAGTTTGCATTTTATAAGCAGTGTAATAGGTCCATTCTTTCACAGCAGAAAGTGAGGTACTATGACTCAACAGATTCTATGAATCAATTATCGATCAATGTAGTAGTTACCTATTGGGGCTTCCATTCAAGGCTTTCATGCTTTGGCTTCCTTCAAAGATGATGATAGTAAAGGCAAAAAGAAAAAGAAACTAATGTGGGTCTCTCAACAACCATCTGGTTCAATCTCTTCTATTCTTCTATGCAGGAGCTAAGACGGATATTATCTTATATTGAGACCAGACTAAACAACTCTATACTTAACGGAAAGTAAAAATACTTGTAGTTACTTTGTTCTCAGTATCCACTCATAAATTTTTCTTACATGAATCTATGTTGCATGGTGTTGTTTTGTTCCTCTAATGTATGGACTAGGATCTAAAAAGGTTTTGGTTGAATATTTTGCTTCAACTACTTTGAGTACTATGTAGGTGTTATCAATGGATATCATCACCTGACCAATCTTTTTTGTGTACCAACATTGACACAACACCTGATTTTTGTTTTCACAATATTTTTATCATACATTACTCAGTATTAGTCATAAAGGCATGCATTAATTGATGTTCACAATGTCAATGGTGGTCACCAACTTAGGCCCTAGAGGCCATACGTTTTTTTATGTTTGCGAGGACATATTGAGAAAACTTTTACTTTTAATTTATCCTCAACCAAAATTACAAACTTAGACATATAATTGTCTATCAATTTTGGAACAATTAAATAAAATTAATAGGTATTGTTCAATGCAGAGAACATAGATAGATCTGGTTCAGGTATAAAGTTCTCAATATGGAAATTATGCTAACCATATCAAAATACAGGAAGATTCTATCATTGTAGGTATTAAAATTGTAATTCATGTTTAGACATCTCCTTTTTCTTGGTCCATGGATGTTTTGGGATGACTATAGGATGAATGGAATCAATGAATCAAAAAACAAAAACTAATGGTTGTAAATACAACACAACCCTTGGAGCTATTGAGATCGTTTATTTGGTGTTGCAGAAAAATGGGTTGCTTATGAAAAACCACAAAAATGATTTAATTAGAATCTATTCTTAGTTCGTGAGTGAGTTTGTGAGTGGTATTTGACTTTAGATATTGGTGTAGATGGTTCACAAGGGCAATAAAGGCATTTGCAATGGTAGAAATCGGAAGCAAAGAAGCTCAATTATCCAAACATTGGGACTTCATTCTTCTGATGCAGCTATTGATTGGGACTTAGCAAGGCGTACTTTCCCATTATAAAATGTTTCATGGATACCTCCACTTTTGGCTGGTTAATTACATTTTTTTTCCCGGTTATGTCTTCTTTGAATATTCTTCTTCTTGAAGCCTTGATGTGTCACTTTCTTTTGAAACTCCACAGAGAAACTTCAAGCACAAATAAAGGTTACAACTCTAACTTTGGTTAGTGAATTCATTTCAATTAAACACTAAAAGTTGTATTTGTATTACTCATAGGCAAAGGCAATGCTCCAATCAAATTGAGAGTGTGAAAGACTATTTCTCTTGTTGAAGATATATGTTTTTGGAACTGACACAATTGTAATAATTGGTACCTTGACCTAATCAATTTTTATACGAATATATCGTTGGAGATGACCTGACACTTGATATTGGTTACATATATTATACCATGTTCAAGTAATAAAAAGGATGCAATTTTATGCTTAAACAAGATGAACCAAAAAAAAAAGAAAAAGAATATGTCGAGTTATAAAACATGAACCGCATATTTCTTACCACCGCTAATAGAAGAAAGAAGACAAAGCACACAAAGTGTCATTGCCAATTGCAATTGAGATGATGATTGATGAGCAATGATTTTTTGGTATACTATGATGAGCAATGATTGGTAGTCTAATGGTTAGAGAAATTTGGGTTAGTAGTTGTATTTCACATTTTGGCACCAATTTCTTCATTTTTAGTAATTATGGCCCTATTCCCCATAAAATACAAGAAATGTTTTGTAGTAGTTGCATGTACGGCCTAATGAATTGATTCAAACCAAAAAAAGTGAAAAATTTAAAAAATAATACATGGAATGATAGATAGTTACAATATTTGTTCTTAATTTTTATAATATAATTATGTGCCTATACTTTATGGTAATTTGATTTGACTTTGATCTTTGAAGATAGATTTATATAAAAATTTATTTTAATTAGATGTATGAATTAGAACTCTTATATACCTAAAAATTATTTACGTGCAACAACTAGTTACTATAAAATATCAACATACTTGAAAAATATTTTTTTGCCATCTTTATCCTTCAATAATACAAGTATGACATCCTTATCCTTCAAAATTAATTACATATTTAACCTAATAATTGGTCACCTCTACGTTTTCCTAGTGCCATTAGAAACTCTCTTCATTTGTTCAATTCTCTCTTTCCTGCGCATTCAATAAAGACTCTCCCTCTTTTCACCTTTCCCCTCTCCCTCACTCTCTTTAATTCTCCTTTAGTGGCTCTAGAGATCTACATGTTTCTCCCTAAATTTGTTCAAGTACAAGAATCTATCCTTGTAATTGATCCTTTGCTTATTTTTGTAAAGCCACTTAGATCCTTCCTCTCTCATTTATGCTTGTTAAGCTAATAGCTTTATCTTAGTTATAAATTTTGGACTGTACAAATGGTGCAATGAATATTCTTCACTTTGCCATAAAAATCAGCCTAAATTAGAAGTTTAACCATTCTATGCCTCTTAAATTTCCACTGGCTGCATATACTGCTATACACAATTAAAAATTTGCATCACCAATTCAAGCCTCTCTCTCTCTCTCTCTCTCTCTCTCTCTCTCTCTCTCTCTCTCTCTGCGTTGCAAAGGCTTCAATAGGTACTCATTATGTCGCTATTTGAATTTTATATTTGTCCTAAACATAATATCGTGCTTTTACATTTTCTTTCCATGGTATAACATGACCCTTTTTCGTTTTGATTATATGCTTTGTGTGACATTCCTATATGGGGGTGTTAATATAGAAGCAAAATAAATACTAGATTGTGTTCTGCCAATGGTATCTTTTGAAATTGCATGTTAGTATATCACTTGAATTTCACATAATTCTTATGTAGATTTAAAATAATTGTACTACATTAGAATTAACTTAATTACATACGTCTAAGGCTTTTCTAAGTTAGGTACAATTTAGTTCTCTTTATATATTTCTTTGATAGTGAATAGAAAATCTTTGGAGCTCGCCTTATAATTGGTTGTAGTGGCTAACACAATTCAAGAAAGAAGAATAAAATGGTAAGACAATATAGGCTAAATAAAAAAGTTAAATAATTTTTGTTAGTTCCTCTTTTCTATATCTCTCTCCTAAGAAACAAAAAAGAGGACAAAACATCATAGATATTTGTCTTTGCCCCCAACGGCCTAATCTATTGTTAGAATATTGAACTTGTAAAAAGGGGAATAAAAATCTCAAAGCATAATGGTAAGTGATGGTATACTTAGAGGATTTTTTCGTGCGTTCGGGATGTTCTTCCCCCACCGAAGGATTATGGCTGACCTTGCGTAAGCCTACGCTTCGTGCCAGTAGCCTTTTTACTTCTCTGCCCGTTGGGAGTCAGTCTCACATCGGAAGAGAGTCGTCTCTCCCCCTTACATATAAGTATGAGCAGTACATGGAGGAGGTACCCACTAGCCACTTGACCCTATGCTTATCTGCGAGGGGGGGAGACGACTCTCTTCCGATGTGGGACTGGCTCCCAACGGGCAGAGAGGGAAAAAGACTATTGGCACAAAGTGTAGGCTTATGCTAGGTCAGCCATAATCCTTCTATGGATGGGGGACATTCCGAACGCGTAGATTAATCCCCTACGCCATCAATGATATGTTAATGTGAGATGATGTTCTTTTGGGACTGGCATTTCTCCAGCCGTGCCATTTATAATACTTTTACATTCCTATTTAGGCATTTAGTTGGATTTCTATGCTCATGCTGGACCTAAAACCGGATAAAATATCTATTCCCCATTGGTTATTAATACTTCAATATCTAGATAGTTTATACTCTAGCTAAAAAAAATGATCTAATGCACTCAATATGTTTATGTCAAATTTGATTTTATATATGATGTGCCAAAAAATGTCTACTTATATTGGTTTTCCCTACTACAAAATATATTGGAAATGTATAGATATTTTTGTTTATGCCTTCATTTATCATTCACCTCTCACTTTGCTTTATAATCAATGTTTATCATACAATAAAAGTACATTTGTAAACACCTACTCTAAGCATGAACAAAAAAATTACTCCCTCCGTTCCTAAATATCTGTCATTTAAGATTTTTGCACAGGAATTAAAAAGTTATTAAATAGTTCTAATATGAATAAAAAATAATTACACAAGACTAAAATACTCTTATTCAATACGTATTGGGAAGGAAATGAATATGAAAGGCACTTAGCCTACACTTAATCTATTAAGCAGTTATTGGAAAATAGAGATAAAGGTAAATTTATTATGCTTTGGTTTCATAAAACGACAGATATTATGGAACAAAAAAAATTGTGTAAAATGACAGATATTTAAGAACGAAAGGAGTATATAATTAAAAACGAAGATAACAATCAAACAGACAACTTGAAATGGTGCAAATGTAACGCACGTGTGCACCAACTAGCTAGTATTATTGAAGGTAAATTAGTTTTTATGTATTTAATTGTCTTTTAAACCCTAAGAAGAGCGCGCCTCTTCTTATAGACCCAAAAGTCTATAGTTGTTGATCGGCCTAAAAAAAGCCCATGTTTTAATTGGCTTTCAAATGCAATAAAAGCCCACTGGTTTGCATAGTGGCCCAATTTCACAATTAGAATTTTTAATGGGCTTTCAATGCAACAAAGGCCCGTGTTGTTTGCTAAATGGCCCAATTACCATTTGAAGACACTTTCCCACAGTGGCTGTTCTTGCTTCGACCCCAGCTAGGGTTTCCAAGTTCGGAGAGACTGAGGTTTTGATCTGAGATTAAACCCTAGCGATAATCAAGCTAGAAGTGAGTGAGAGAGATAGAGGGATAGAGAATCGGGTTTAGAATGTCGTTTATGCAACAGTTTCAGGCGAAGAAGAGTGTGGCGAAGCGATCCAAGAAGTACTTGGAAGAGGCGCTTTACAAGAGGCTCTTTAAGGAGGGTAGTTCTGAGGTCAGTGTTAAGCAACAGCTTAATCAATTCCTCAAGAGCTCGAAAAGAGTTTATAAATGGGAGGTTGGTCACTCCCTCAAGCTCCTCCGCCAGCGGAAGCGTTACTACCCCGCCCTCAAGGTTCTTACTTTATCCCTATGTAATTAAGCTTCAGTTATCTTGTAATTTGAAATTACCAAGACTATTCTGAATTGTAATGGCATCACTCGGAACTCATCGTCCTGTTCAAACGCTTTCCTGCATTGTACTTTTTGCTATGTGAATTTAGTTGATGATTTCTGCTGATGGTGAAGATTCAGTACCGAAGATTAAGCACGAGGTTAAACGAGAAAATGAAAAGATGGTCTGGGAGGGAATGTAGTGGTAGTAATTTTGATGGGGGAAGTGAAAAAGGGGTTACATTTCTTTGGTGGCTTTGCATATGAGGCATGGATCTCATTATGGAACTTTAAACATGGTGACTTTGAGTCCCGTAACAACTGAGAATCCATAGGACTCTGGGCAAGTTTATGCAGTTAATAACTACACGTTAAAAAACTTTAAAACCATTGCATTGACATTGGTTAAACTTCAAATGCAGTAAAATAAATCTTGATCCACCATGTGTGGAGTTCATTCTAAATATCTTGTCTCAACTAGGTCTTATTCTTTGTTGTCCTTACTTGTATGATTTTGGGCAGCGTGGATTACGCCTGGACGGATTAGGTCTAGAGCAAGAATGATAATTGGGTGTGCTTTTGGGAAGGTCATCCAGACTGAACTGAAGCAACTATTAGTTTTTTTAAAGTATAAACATTAGTGTGTATATTGCTTAAAATTTCACCAAATTTTTCTTTGATCTTCCGTCGTGATGTTGCTTGGTGTTAATTGATCCTTACATATGTTTGCTCATCCTTATATTTGTTGACATATCTATCCCTATTTTAGTGATGTTGCATGGTGTTACATGTTTGTTCATCCTGGTATATTTTGTCGACATATTTATTCCTATTTTAGGTCAAACTCCTTAAAGTTCATTTGCTGTTTCAAACATGGGAAAGGCAAACTAAGATGGTGCTATGTGATAGTGAGTTTTTTTAGTTCTGAATGGTTTACCAAATGCTAGTGCTGGTACATATTTTCTCCTCTCATGTTGTTTCAACAAAATTTAACATGAAGGACTTCCGAATTATGTCATACTCAGGGGGATTTGAATATCTTTTACTCAGTCTGTATTTATCAGCTGAACATCTGTACCATAGTATTGCCTTGATATCTTGATATGTTTCTGCTTTTCCTCTCTTCTGCTTTCCTGGTTTTCAAAATTTTTTTACATTCCGTCTGCTCTTTGGGTAGTCTGCTCCAGCTCTGTTGACAAATTTTTGCTTTTCCAGATCATCTTAAGTCAGACTCGTATTTTAATATCCATTTCTGGCTTTTTGCTAATGTTTTCTTCTGATTTCCCTCGGTTGGTTTTGTAACACTGTCCATTTACTTTCTTATCTTGCTTTCTATTCTCCAGTACTTTCTAGTTCCAAGTTGTTTTGCAAACTGTAATTTATTTTTGTAACTTACAGCTATCAGAAACTATGGAGAAAAGGAATATGAACAAGACAGTTAGCGATCAAGCCATACATCTAGATCTAGTTGGCAAAACCCGAGGCATTGCTGCTGCTGAAGCTTACTTCATTGGTCTTCCCGAGTCCTCAAAGAACCATCTCACTTGTGGTGCTCTTCTGAATTGTTATTGCAAGGAATTGATGACTGAAAAAGCTGAGGCTTTAGTAGAAAAGATGAAAGAACTGAAGTTAGCTTTAAGCTCCATGCCTTATAACAGCTTGATGACCTTATACACAAAAACTGGCCAGCCAGAAAAGATCCCTGCCATTATCCAAGAAATGAAGGCCTGGGATATCATGCCAGATTCCTACACCTACAATGTCTGGATGAGGGCTCTTGCTGCTGTGGATGATATTTCTGGTGTTGAGAGAGTTTTTGATGAAATGAAAAGGGATGGGCGAATTGCTGGAGATTGGACAACTTATAGTAATTTGGCATCAATTTACGTTGATGCAGGCTTATTTGAGAAAGCAAAGAAGGCACTAAAGGAATTGGAGAAGAGAAATGCTTGCCGTGATCTCTCTGCTTACCAGTTTCTAATTACATTGTATAGTCGAACCAAAAATCTGATTGAAGTTTATCGTGTGTGGCGTTCTTTGAGATTGGCTTTTCCTAAAACTGCAAACGTAAGCTATCTGAATATGATTCAGGCTTTGGTTAATCTGGAAGATTTACCTGGTGCTGAGAAATGTTTCAGGGAATGGGAATCTGGTTGCTCAACTTATGATATTCGAGTGGCAAATGTCCTAATAGCTGCTTATGCTAAAGAAGGTTTATTAGAGAAAGCTGAGGAGCTCAAGGAGCGGTCCCGGAGGAGAGGGGCCAAGCCTAATGCTAAAACTTGGGAGATCTTTTTGGAATACCATTTGCAAAATGGAGAGGTTAAACAAGCAGTTGGTTGCATTGAAAATGCAATCTCAACCAGCAGAGGGAATGGTAGGAAGTGGGTCCCATCACCTTTGATTATAGGGAAGTTGATGGATCATTTTGAGGAGAACAAAGATGTTGAGGGTGCAGAAGGTTTTCTGGATATTTTGAAGAGGGCTGTGGATGAGATTGGGGTAGCGGTGTTTGAATCATTGTTAAGAACTTATGTAGTTGCGGGGAGAACAAGTCTTACAATGCGCCGCCGTCTGAAGATGGAGAATGTGGAGCTGAGTGAGGAAGATAAGAAGTTGCTGGATGTGGTGTGTGTGGAGTGAGTTTCGTTTTTTTAACAATTCCCTGGTCAAATTTGCTGTTGCTAGCATGTCAAGAAATTGATCACTTTGTTATTCTATTGATTAATAAAGCGTACCCCTCTTTGGCTCAATGGGAAGGTGAATTCCCCCATTTGTGACTGATTTTTGTGATACGAAGTTGCAATTTAAATTGAGGATAGTTGGTTTGTGCTGCGTGCCTGCAACTGTATGTTTTTCTGATAAGCAGTCTGTTCTGTTTGTGCTCTTCCTGATGGTGCTGTCTGTTTTGTGAGGAGGATGTATATGCCTTTTGTTTCGCTGTTACATGTTCCGGGATGAATTCAACGGATAGCAACAAGGATAAGCTGTAAATTCAGAGTTTGAAACTTGGTAACTCTCTTGGGACTAGGTTCGAGAGATTTATCCTTTTTGAATTTTCTAGTTTTAACATGGATGACCAGTTTTGATTGGACCAGAGAAGAGATTAGTAGAGATGCAAGTGAGTTGGTACAGACACTCCTAATCCCAATATCAAAAAAAAAAAAGATGCTTGTATCCGTGGGGCTTATAGCCAGGCACATTGGGCTATGAAGAATGATTGGTCTATTTCTGATGGTTGGTTGAATGGAGGTTTTACCCGAACCTATGAGGTTTTTAAAAAATATACTTAAAAGAGGGTTGTTTTCAAAGTATTTTTAAATGTATTTTTAAAAACATCAGTTGGAATGACGTTTTCAACTTAAAAGACGTTAGTTGGACTAACATATTATCTAAAAACGTCATTTGAATCAATGTTTTATGAGACGCAATTTTTTTTAAAAAAATCTCACATAAATGTTGGTCTAACTTACATTTTTAAACAACCTAAAAGAACATTGGTTGAACCAAAGTTTTTGTGATTTGCCAGATCTGCCTAGACTTTAAAAATGTTGGTTGAACCAATGAACGTTTTTAAGCCAAAAAATGTTGGTTAAAGTTTTTAAGCTAAAAAACTTTGATTCAACCAACGTTTTTCATTCACCCTCTTCTTCTCTTCCAAGTGTCAAAAAAAACTGACTAAGTTTTTTCCTTACAAACTGTTTTATCTTCCTCTCTTGTTTATGAGTAAATGTTTAATTTTATTTATTGAAAAAATTAATAATATTGAAAATAAATAAATTTTGATGATCATTTCAAAATACATAAATTTTGATCATATCAAAATTAAAAAATTGAAGCGTACACATATAATTTATTTTAATTTTATCATATAATTTTAAAAGTATACATATAATAAAAATAAAGTTTTATTTTTAATTTTGATTATGTCGAAAATAATGTTATTAAGCAATGTAAAAATAGAAATTATTCATAACCAAAAACTGAGCATTTATTTCATAACACGTAGTAAATTTGTCGGGGTAAAAAAAGGTTGTCAATAACGTGCTTGATGTTCAAAACAATATAAATGATTATCGAGTACACATAAATATGATGAGATAACAGTGTTAGACGCATCATTGTCCAGATCGGAGAAATCAGAAAGTTTAGGATCAAAAACAAGTAACGGATCCTCTAAAATTTCTATTTCGGCATATTCATGACCAAAATGCTCTGTTTTGGCATAATCGATTGCATGGAAACGATCAATACGACATTGCATTTGATCATTTTCACGTTCAAGCCTTGATATGATCTTATCATGATTGTTTGAATTCTGTGGATCGTAAATATTAGTCAAACGTGTTTTTGGTACTGCAAGTCAATGTCAACGATAAAATACTTCAATGTCACAATGTTTGTTATATAACTGTCGTCATCTTAATATGAGTTCGATATGAGTACTTGGAGGAGGATAGTCATTGCAAGCTCAATAATTACATGTTCAGTTTTACCGAACGGGTGTAAAATGCATGTTTTCGTCCATACCATGTTACATTACTGGAATCAATATATGATCCAATAAAAGGAACTTTCTTCACCGATGTTGATCTGACAGTTGAGCATTCACGTTTGTTAGTCGAAGATGAAATATTTTGGTCATTGCGTGAAGAAAAACCTTAATTGGTTTGGTTGTATTGTGTATGTGATGTGCATCTATACATTTTATTTGGTGGTGGTGCATTTACACAATTGTGAATGCTAGTATATATATGCTCGGTTTGACAATTTAAAATTACCATGAATGAACATCACACTGCAAAGTTTAAAACTAATTTGACAATGACAGGATGTGACAATGAAAAAGATGGAATATGACAACACTGAATAGACTGATAAAGCCACGACATTGATTAAAGTAAATAGGATGTCACGCTGCAAAGTTCAGAACTGATTTGACAATGACATGATGTGATAATGAAAAAGTTGAGATATGACAACACACTGAATACACTGATTAAGTCACGATATTGATTAAAGTAAATACGACGTAGATATATGTTATATGCTTAATAAGTTAGACACTTATTACATTTGTTAATTTTCATCAGACATATATACTCATTTGATAGGTATTGTTCATTAGATAATACATTAGATCGCTCAGTAGTTGTTAACTCCCTACCAAATGCAGTTATCACCATGTTAGTTGCTATTTGGAGCATATGATATCAGCACTTATGCAATATCATCCAATTATTTTTCTTTCGTACACGTTTAATTGTTGCTTCATAGTTCACTATATTCCTTCGCATGATAAGTGAAAGTCTATTTGGCACCGGTATACTAAGTTCTCTCAGATCTGTGCATAATAAGTGTGATTCATTAGCACGAAATGTCCACTCTCATCGGAGTCCGGCGTAATACTCTTTTGGATTAAAAAATCTCTCACTCTTGTAATAACTAAACTAGTTCAAGGCTACGGCTGTTATCACCTGCTCGTGGTCTTGAAGTAGACATAATGTGCAATATATGTGATATAAACTACCCCGTATTATGTTTTTATAGTAGTTTCATTGTCTTAAATGCATCGGTGTGTAGTCACGTATTTTGTCATATAAGGACATTTGTCAGCATTGTAGTAGTGTGTAGTCACATTTATATTTGAGTTGATAGTCAAACATTGAAAAAAGAGTGCAGTCAGTGTGACTACACACTATTAGCTATCAGCGTAACCACATAGTGGTACGTAGTCATTGTGACTACACACTGATACGTCAACTACATTGAAGTTACTAGCCCCTAATTCACCTTGATTCCTAGTTATTCACGTCCGTGATACATTTGACAGTGTTAGGGTTTTTTGGCAGTAAACTACTGTGTAGTCACTAGAGTTTGATTGTGACTAAACACCAGCGCATTGAACTGCAATGCAGGATCTTCATTAATGTTTGTTGCTGAACAAGAAACAATTACAACATGACAATTACATCATTGTCAGTCATAGTAACTACACACTGGGTCAATGTCAATTAGTGTGACTACACATTGTTATAATGTCAGTGATTGTAATTACACAATGCTGCAATGTCATTCATTGAGGCTATAAACTGGCATACTCACATACTTAATTTGCCTATAAGTTTGAACTCATGTGCAATATTCAATGTAGATAATTCATCTCTAACCATGAATTATAGTCCTAGATCGGTGTTTGAAACTTTGGGTTATCATTGGACATTAGAGGATGAGTTCTTTTACCCAATGAATCCTCGCTTACGCTATTCACTAACAGTTAGAAACACAATGATAGCGGAATGACAATATCGCTTGATGGAAAGAGAAAATCTAAGCTTAAATTTACGTTCTTGCAACATTATAAGGCTTCGACAAGTTGTCACTGATATGCCTATTACCACTCCTCAAGAATTAGAGCGAGTATTGTTTCGAATTCGATGGGAGAACAATTAAATGCCAGTCCGTTGCAATCGGTACAACTTGCGTCGTATTGCAAACGACCGTGTTGCAGAAGAGAGGATACAAGAAACAATTTTAAGCTTTCAATTGAGTGAAAAAGTTAGATGTATTTCTGATGTGTAGATGTCTGATGAAGATAAAGACCCATGAAGAAGTGTTATGCAACTCCTGTGTTGTAACATTTACACTTCGATCGTCGTACTTGTGTTTTCAGTATGTTTCTATTAAATATGGTGTACTACTCCAGTTAGTATTGTCCATTTGGATTTCAATAAATTATGTTATGTTCTTCAAGAAACGTTGCTTAGAATATTTGATAACTAATCTGAAAGGCATTAACAAAATTACACTATATGAAATTATGAACCTAAAATTTTTTACATACAACACTAATAGACACAAATTATATAAAAAAAAATATGAAAAAAATGGGCTATGTCCCACAAGATGGTGGTCTTCTCTATCGCTTGGCCCACTGTCCATCAGGAAGAGCCCATATATCTTGAGTGACTCCACCATCTACTGAATCATTTGCATGGTGGCTATGACGACCGATTCCATACCCACCTCTACCTCGACCTTTGTGTGACTATGATGACTCCTGTGTCACTCCCTCAACAAGAACCTCAGCATCATCGGAATAGTACTCATATGGAATAGGAGAAGTAGGCCGTATATGGAGCGGTGAAACAATATGTAGTATACAAGTCACATCGGGAAGTGGTGTAGCTGTCCAGTCCAGTACATGTGGTAAAACTCCTGTATCCACTAGCTCCAGTAAAAGTATGAATGGAGACGACGATGTATCAACATGTACTGAGGTCAATGGTGAATCACATGATGTAGGTGTCTGTGTAGGACGATCAATTAGTAGTGTAGTGGCATGATTAGTGACAGGTGTTGGACTGCAGTAATTAGCAATTGGAACATATGGTGCATGTGGACATGCTGCAGCGGTCTGAGGAACAGATGCAGCCAATGGGCCTACCTGTAATGATGTCAAAATAGTATCCATAGTTGATGAGGATGTATGTGCATGTGCGCGTGCAGCTGGCTGTCGTGGAAAGCGTACACCACGCTGGCGTGCATGCACTAGTGTTGTAACTATTGATTGATGAATGTCTGCCAATGGCTGATACATGGGTAGGCGTGTGTTGCTCGAAAAATGCAACAGTCCAACTGCATAGCAAACAAAACAGAGTTACATGTGACATTAGTTAGCAGTACATACTAGTAATGAATAATGACCCAGACAACACAAATATTGTTTTACCTACAACCACGAGGGAGTGCAGGCTGATCATCATATGCTGCGACATGTGGTGCAGAATCATGTGCCAATGCAGGTGCAAGACCATGTGATGGGCCATCATCCGCATGTGCATTTGCTCCATTGGCTACTACATGAGGTAATGGAGCACGTGGGAGTAATCTCTGTAACGCTCCCATGCCCACACATATATAAATACACGAAACAAGTTGTAATGGAACACCTATGTTATACATTACATTAAACTTAAAACAACAATAGTACGAACATGAAACATGTCTGAATTATACAAGCACTAGAATAAACAAGCTGCCGATATCCTTAGCATGGTATCTAGTAGCG